GCATGATATATAGTAGGCACTTAATAAATTCTCATTGATTAGGCCTATATGCACACATTTGAGATGCCCAGATATGCAGATAGTATTCCATCTTTAGAATTCCATTGGACCATTCTTGGGAAGGACATGTAAAATCATCTCCATACAACTAAATGGGGCAAAATATTATAGATACGGGCAGCATCTTTTGATAATGAGGACAGTTACTTCTCAAACTCAGAGATGGTGGATATATATCCTTAAAAGGAAGAAGTTGTCTCACACATCCAGGGCACCTTGGAAATAATTCATCTCTTACAAAACTTACGAGATTTCTATCTTCACCAACTACTCTACCAGACTTATCCATACATGACTTATCTGACTCAATGAGTATCAATCCCCACATTACTAATGGAGTCCTGGAATATCTGCCATGAAGGTACCTAGATCCATGCTAGGTAGCCATAGGTATAGGTTGTACAATGACCAACAGACAGTAGCAGAAAGCAGTGATGACATTATCAGAAGACATCAGTGACACTGGAGCTTCTGAGGCATGAGTTTCACCTTGGCTAATTGTGCCCCTACAAATGAGCCTTCCATATATTACCCCTAGTAACAGGGTTATGTGTGTGCCCCTATGTGTGTACCCACTACGGGTGTTCTCTTATCACATGTGTTCCCATGCATATTTTTCCACATTGGTAACACAAATGCACAAAGGAAACCTCTTCATGTCATCCAATTTGCTTTGTGGTTTAGCTAAGTATTTTTATTTCAACTAATGTTTCCTATGGTTGTCTGGTAAAAAGTCATTGCAAGCGCATACTAACCTGCTTATCAGGTCACATATAGGACCACAGATTTTCAAATAGAAAAACCTTTAAAGGCATCTTGCTCCAATTCTTCATTTTCTAAGGGAAAACAGCAACAACATCTGAGGCCCAGAATGGTTGAGTAAGTGACTGGTCCAAGGTCATACAGGTAGTAAGTGGCACAGAACAGACTTCAACTCAGGTTCTTTGACCCCAGACTGAGAAGTTCCCTGATGTCATGTTAGCTGAATTGAACTGAACTGAATGATGGCTGGAGAGAGCTACCTCCTGGGACCACAGCAGATGAAATAAAAGGAGACAACCTTCCAATTCACTTAGTGTTCTACTGGACAGGGCCTTTTTTCTTGGCAGATGCAGGAAGTATAAACCCTAAGGGGAGGAAGTCCTGTCTCTACCTGAAGCACTTTGAGGATAATGGGTTAAAAAAAAGAAATCAATGAGGACCCTATTGGCACCTGTCAAATCCTATTTTCATCATGCCAGAATGGCTTTTGTCGAGTGATACCAGACAAGGGAGTCGCAGGCTGACCCTCCTCTTTTACCAAGACACTGAGGGAGCTTGGAACATTAAGGAGAATGGCAGTAGAGGTAAAAGCAGGAAGAAGACATGGATGAGAGGTGACATGGGCCTGTTCTTGGAGAATCGGGCGCGTAATGCTGCCTGAAAAGAAACCCAGGGAGTGTAAATGCCTTCACTTCCTGTCAACCTGATTAGTAGCAATATCTGGGGACCTTCAGGCTGAGCACAGACAGCTCACCAAGCTTGACAGCTGCTCCAAGGTGGCTGAGAGCCACAGCTCTGCCCTGACAAGGGTCCTCAGCCTTCCCATAGCTATCTTCCTTTCAGGCTGAAATGCTGAAGCCCTAGGAGAGGGGGTGATCATGGCAAGAGAGCCAGGAAGGAAAAATAAATAGTCCCATATACTCTGACCTTCGGAACATGAGGAGAAGCTCTGCGAGAGAGGCCCATAGGTTCAAGCGAGCTCATCACACTGGGCAGGGAGCAAAACAGGCATGGGACCTATGGTGACTAAAGAATCTCCCTAGATCGGAGTGTCAAAAGCACCTATGCAATACTGTTGTCCTATTCAGCTATTAATCAACATAGCTATCCCACATGTGAGCAGAGATCACAGATGTGTGTGGAGCTGGAAGGGACTTTAGTGGGTATCTAGTCCAAACTTTCACATTTTTACAAGTGAGAAAACTGAGGACTTCAGAAGTCATTGACTTTTCCAAGGTCATACAGGTAGCAGAGCTAAGACTCTGTCTCAGGTCCTTTGACCCCAAATCCAGAACATCTGTTACCACATCCCAGGTGTCTACACTGTGGTTACAGACCACTATATCTCCCCCTTTTTTTTGGTGAGTCAATTGGGGTTAGGTGACTTGCCCAGGGTCACACAGCTAGTAAGTGTCAAGCGTCTAGTCTGAGACTGGATTTGAGTTCAAATCCTTCTGATTCCAGGGACGGTGCTGTATCCACTGCGCCACCTCGCTGCCCCTATCTCTCCCTTTTCTTAACATAAGTAGGTGACATTTTTAAAAATACATCGATGGGGAGTACAATCAAAAACTATTAATTACCTGTTTGGAAAAGACATCCTAGGATGCTGCTGTAGTAAAACAAGTCAATGTCTGTGCCAGTCTACAGGGCAAAAATAGGTAGGGAGAGATGAACCATCCTTCAGTATAAAATTCAGATTCTAATTTTCCATGCTGAAAAACATAACCTGATAACAGGAAAGAGTCTTTCACCCCACTCTAATTACCTGCTTAAAGAAATTCTCCCAATTTCCCTGGATATACACTGAGCACTGAAAGCTAAAAGCATTACTTTGATCCATTCACTGATTCATTGATGAATCTTCCCCACAAGGAGTTTACAATCTAGCAATTGGTTTTTATTCTAGATAATACGAAAGAAAAAATATGCTTTTAAAACTAAAACCACTTTTTAAAATAGGCTCAAAGAATTCTTTAGGGGGTTAACTATGCACTCGCTCACTTTATAGGTAAAAATGTGTAAAGGAAAAAAGACAAGCCCATACCAATAAATATGTTGTTCTTCAGCTCAGTCCTAAACCTGAAATGACAGCAGCACTGACTCATTTGCCCCTCAGTTTGTTTGGCAATGAATAATCTCATTTCAGTAAACAGTCTTTAAAATTGAATTTCTGCCAACAGTTTTGGTACATATAGAGGGATTGATCCAGGAGAGTCTGGAAGCAGGCCAGGCTTTCCATCAGTGAGACCCTGGGCGAGTCATTTGCCTTCTTACATTCTACATCTGTAAAATGAGAAGGGTTGTCCCGAAAGGCCTCCAAGGTCCTTTCTGTGTCCTAAATCTGTGATCTATGTTCTAGGCAGTCACAGTCAGCCAATAAACACTTATTAGGCACCTACTATTTGCAAGGCACCCTGCTAAATGCCACCTCCCACCTCACTAGATTCATAGCATTCCTTTGAGGAAGGTGAGGGGAATCATTCATTTAAGAGAGGAAAAAAAAAACATCAACAATAGAAAAAAAGCACTCTGTAAGCTTTTCAATTTCTTGCAAGTTACTGAGAAATGAGATCACTGGAGATAGAGCTAAGCTCAAAGTGCTAAGGATTCCTCCTTACCTTTCTCACTTTTAGCAACCTGCTCAAAGGGCCAGAAATGACTTTGGACTGAATTTGAACGTAAGCTTCTCCTGTGTAACCTCACCCACCGGGGGCACCTAGTGTCCCCATGCACCAAAAAAAAAATGTGATAACCACCAATGTAAAGGCCCCAAAGCCTTTGCATTCCAGATATATAAAAGGAAAGCTAGTCCCCCCTCGTTCATGCCCCTCAAAAATCAAAAACAAAAACAATCCATCAAGACACTGCTACATCAGTGGCTATGATCAAGGTCAGAAAAACACAGATGTCCACATTGTATAAGGTTTCAGAGATGAAGCATGAAAAGAGATAATGAGAGACAATGTGTGCAGAACAGAACTCATTAATGATGGCACGGATTACACGTGCAGAACACCTTCAGAATGTTTGTGCTGCTCCAGCACAGACGATGGCTCCATTCCAAGAACCAACAGGAAGCATGGGCAATTTCTCAACACCTAAAGGTCACCCCTAATTTGCACAGCAAATTGCAGTCACAATATTCATTAAAAAAAAAAAAACAAAGGGAAGCAAAACAGCAGAATCATGATGTCTGCAGGACCTGGTCTCTCAGGATGCAACTCCCCAATTCATCGTCTTTTGCTAAGCTGCTACAAAGATAGAAAATGACATATCTCCTACCCTCAAGAATCTTATAATCTAATAGACACATAATGCGTACACAGAGAAGAAGTATAATATAAGGCAGAATGTGAAGGGGAAGAGTAGATACAAAAACACTGAGTCATAAAAATTTGAGACAGAAAAAGCTTACTTTGATCAGGAGGATCAGAGAAGTCTTTCTGGAAGAGGCGATCCATGAATAAGGAGAAGAATAGAGACAGGATGCTTTTATGGGTTTGGAGTGGAACAGTTTGAGGGTTTCTAAATTGTTAATAATTGCTTGCTGCTCTTATCTGTGAAAAACACAGAGGTGGGTGAGGTTGATAGGGAGAAGTTTACATTAAAATTCAGCCAAAGTTAGCTCTCAATTTAAAGATGGAGAAATAAGGAAGGATAAACTTTACTTGTTGAGCCTAGCTATATGGCTAGAAACCTCCTTTCTCCATGGCTTATAAGAAGGCAGTTGTGTGTGTTCCAGGCATGGAAGAAAAATGCATAGAGTCCGGAATACAGAGTAAGTGAAGGGGAGCAGTGTGGTATAAGGCTAAAAAGGTAGGTTGAGGCAGTATTGGACAGATGCATTTAAATTCCAAGCAGAAGTTAGTATTATGTTGCACAGAGAGCCTGGTGATGCTTTTGAGTACCAAAGTGACAGTCAAATCTCTGTATTAGAGATAATTCTGTGTTTAGGAAGGATTATAGAAAGAAGAGATGAAAAAGAGGGAGACTAATCATTTGCTGAAAGGTGAAAGGTGATAAGGTTCTGCAACAAGGTAGATGATAGCAGTTTTTGTGATAAGAAAGGGGCAGATGGAAGAACCATTGTCAAGGTAGAATTGACAGGATTCTAATAGGGTAGAACACAGTTACCTATCAACCAGGATGTTCCAGAATGCTCATTCCTTCTCTAAAAAGAACACTAGAGCAAAGAGGATGGCAGGGGAACTTCCAGGTATCATTCTCTCTCCTTACAAAGAAGTGATCACTGAAGTTGACAAACTTCACAGTCTGTTCAGTTCTTAGGCTATTATCTGGGAATTCATGCTCAGGGCAAATCCTCGTCACCCTCTACTCTTTGAGAACTCAACTCATTCTTCCAGGCTAAAAGTAGTTCTTTCATGGACTAGCTATTATTTCTGTCATGTGAAGGAAAGGGGGGGGGTGGAGGGGAGATGATAAAGTAGCTCCATACGGCAAGGTACTGAGTTAATGAGGCCTGGTGACCCTCCTGAGGTGCTTCCTCCCTCTGCGAGGTCACAGGTAGCTGGTGTTGCTTTGGCAACACAATGGGGCACATAAGATGAATAGACAGCCAGTCCTAATCAATGGAAAGCTTTGACTGAGCACCTACTGGGTGAAGATAATTTTTTTTTATATATATAGTGAGAAGAGACAGGAAGTCAGAGAGGTTACCAAAGAACTTCTTTTTTTTTAGGAGTTTGTATTTAGGGAAACATCCACATGACAGACTAATAATAACAACAATAATAATAGCCAGTGCTTATATAGTGCTTTAAGATTGTCAAAGGACTTTACAAAAATGTTATCTCATTTGATCTTCACAACAACCTTGGCAGGTTATTTCCTTTTTACAGATGAGGAAACAGAGTCAAAAGGAAGTTAAATGATTTGCTAAAGCTCACACAGCTAGTAAGGTGTCTGAGGTTGAGATCTGAACTCACATCTTCCTGACTTCAGACCTAGTGTTCCATCCACTAAGCCACCAAGCTGCCAACACATCTATTTGGGGTTTTTTTTTTGGGGGGGGGGGTTAGCCAATGGGGTTAAGTGACTTGCCCAGGGTCACACAGCTAGTAAGTGTTATATGTCTGAGGCCGGATTTGAACTCAGGTCCTCCTGAAACCAAGGCCAGTGCTCTATACACTCTGTCACCTAGCTGCCCCAAACATATCCATTTGTAAGATAATATGAGGTCAAAACAACTCAAAACAGCTGAGTACCTAAGCAGGGAAATACCAGAGTCCCATGTCATCAGAAACAGAGTATTTCACAGTGTAGTGGAAAAAGTGCAACATTTTTTTTTGTCAAGGAACTATATTCAAATCTTTCCATTGCTGCCTGCTATTATTTGATATTGACAAGTCAATAAACATCTCTGGGTCTCAGTTTACTCATCTGTAAAATGAGGAAACTAGAATAAGTGATCTCTGAGGTTCCTTACAGATGTATATCGATGATCTTATGAACTTGTGGCAAAGTTACCTCTAGAAAAATCGGTAAGACCTGTGCAGATGTCATCAAACACAGAGCCCACATGGACCTCATGATGCAGTATGATCAACCCCTCATGTCTTTCAGAGTATTCTCTGCCTTCATATCTCTAGGAGCTTGTAGTACAGCCAACTCCAAAAGACTCTTGCTATAAACAAAAAAGACTTACTACAGATACATAAAGGGGCAGCTAGGTGCTACAGTGGATAGAGTGTTGGGCCTGGAATCCAAATCCAGCCTCAGACATTAGTTGTGTGACCCTGGGTAAGAGACTCAGCCCTGTTGGCCGCAGTTTCTTCATCTGTAAAATGAGCTAGAGAAGGAAATGGCAAACCACTCTAGTACCTTTGCCAAGAAAACCCCACATGGGGTCACAGAGTCAGATATGGTTGAACACATACATAGACACATAAAATACAAGGGAACTCAGACACACTGGAAAAGAAAAGAAATAATCAGACTGTCCTTTTAGGATGGTATTGTTCAGCCATACAGAGATTTCAGTGGCTTCCTCCTTGTTCACCCTCCCTTCCCACTCCCACCCCAACTCCAAAAATAATAGCTCTCCAATATGAAGACCAGCTGATAATCAGATGCCCAGAAACCTGGGGGCTCTAGGATTGTAGGTACCCTCAAGGAGAGAATTAGACAGGTACCCTTGTCAAATACACTGGCAGTAGCTGTTGCCTTCCTGATCCCCAGTTTATTTGCCCCAACGTCCTGACTGTAGTAGCATTAAGGGTGCTAAGTAGAGGAATGAACACAGGTGAGGGTATAATGGAAGACTAAGTAGCCTAGACTCCACTAATCAACAAATTGAAATGTCAGCAATTGACATTTATTAAACACCATCTCTTGTGTGGCTCTGGGCTGGGCACAGGAGATGTAAATACAAAGACCAAAGCAATCCTTATTCTCAAGAAGCTGACTTAGTGGCTTTGGAAGAGCTACAGGACAAAGACAAGTTAGCCGTTCTTAGCAGAAGAAACAGTAGGTGCAAATAAGTGACTATGAAGGGAGACACATATAGAAACATGGCAGCATATGGCCAACTTTCACTCATGTGACACAGACACATAACTAGACTCAGAAGCCTTCTCTTCAAGAAAAATTAAGCCTATGGTAAGGGTAGGGAGTGAGTATTCTGCTCATGGTAATCAGATTTGTTCTCTTGGAGTTCAAAGTTTTCACAAGTCATTTTGAATACGCAGGTTTGTCTTAGTATTTTTTTTTCCATGTCAAGTCCCATGCTGTCAAATCTGAATTTGTTTGCTAATTTCATTTTGACCATATTTCCTAGTATTTGTCATAACAAAACCTACTGAAGGTCCTTCAGATGAACTTGTGAACTTGGTAGGGTGGGAAGGATGGAAGAGGGGATGCAACTTTTTTAAATGACTGCTTAATAAAAGAGTAAAGAGAGAAGTAACAAAAAGAAGGAAAGAAAGCACACCTATAAGATTATTCTTATCTAGTCCAGTATATTTTTTTAAAATTCATTTTGTGAAAATCAACAAGCATTTATTTTCTCTCCTTCCTGCTTCAGTCACCCCTCCCCCACTAGGGAAAAATAAAGAAAAAAGAAAAATAAACCCCTACCATCAGTATGTTTAATCAAGCAAAACAAAGTCCTACATTATCCAAGTTCAAAAATGTATATATCATTCTGCACCTTGAGTTCATCACTTCTCTGCCAGGAGGCAAGTGACTTTTTTTTTTATCATAAGTCATCTTGAATCATGGTTGGTCACTGTATTGATCCAAGATATTAAGTCTTTGAAAGTTATTTGTTTTTAGAATGTCATGGTATCAATTGTTCTCCTGGTTCTGCTCACTTCACTCTACATCAGTTCATAGAAGTCCTCCCAGATTTCACTGAAACTGTTACTTTTGCCATTGCAGTTAGTTGTCCAATGGACGTAATTTCTCTCAAGGCCAGAAAGGTTAACATTAAATTTACTACTAAAGAAACCAGTTCATTTTTAAAGCTTTTTCTTTAAACACACTTAATTTTAAGGCTTCTTGGCCCTGAAAGAAAGTACATCCATTGAACAACTGATTACCACAGGGCTTTCACCAGCCTATATCTCTTCTTACTTTCAGAAATGTCTCAGCCAAGCTTTCATGGAGGAATTGTATACGTCATAGAAATAGTTACAAGGAACTCCTCCTAATAGCCAATGTTTATTTGGTGCTTTACAGTTGACAAACCATTCTCCTTAGAATCCTGTATAGTGGGGAGTGCAAATATCTTTGTCTCATTTTACAGATGAAGAAACTGAGTCTCAGAGAGTTTAAAGTAACTCAAGGTCAGAAAGCTAGTGTCAGAACCAAGGCTGGAATCTAGGTCCTTCAATTGTAAGTCTACACTATGCTATTGCTCTTCCTGTAAGTAATTTTATATGGGAGGAGGGGCAGGGTTGCTATTTGGGGCCCCAGGATCCCCAAATGTGAACAGTGTTCCCCCTACAAATGCCCTAATGCAATATGGCCAGAACTACAGATATTCTTTTGGGAAGTCTAGGAATTCTCGCTTGGTATGTCTGCCCTTGATGGGATGTGAACATTCCTTCAATGAACAGGTATATGTCACTGAGATAACCTGAGATCACAACATTCCCATCTGTCAATATATCTTTTTCATGGAAAAAAAGAAAAAGAAAAGAAAAGAAATCTGTAAGGGAGAAGAGAGAAGTCAGCTAGGTATTCATGATCAAATTGCAAATGGTGACATCAATTGAAAGAGCTGTTAAACTTTATTTTGAAGATATTCCATATAAACCCAGATTTGATGCATGTGATAAAACAGAGTAAAGACAGATTTACATCTGATGCATTGCCTTAAGCGCCCTGTCACAAGCCATCACAGAAGCTACTACCTAGAGAAGATACAGAAAATTCCTCATACCAAAGTGAATGCCCTACAAACATCCTTCTCATCAATTTAGAAATTTCAAGGCCCTCTAATAAGAAGTGTTCCAGGTCCAGCAAGATTTATTAATAGTAGAGAAAGAGCAGGAAGGGTTATATCTCAATAATTATAATCATATTACTAAATAATAACAGCTGGCACTTATAAAACATATATGGCTATATAAATACAATTATATGTGTGTGGATATATGTGGGAGAGTGAGTGCATATCTATAATACATATATACCTCCACACATATATACAGTTGGGTTATTTTTGTGTTCAATTCACCATGATCCCATTTGAGATTTTCTTGGCAAAGATACTAGAATGGCATGCCATTTCCTTCTCCAGCTCATTTTACAGATGAGGAACTGAGGCAAACAGGGTTAAGTGACTTGTCCACTGTCATACAGCTAGCTTAGATCCTCCTGACTCCAGAGGAAGCACTCTATCCACTGTACTGCCTAGCTCTGACACACACACATACACACACACACACATTTACATACACACACATATATATACATAAATACATACACACATATATACATATATATACATATATATACATATGTATATATATATATATACATATGTATACATATGTATATATATATATATATACATATATATATAGTTTTATGTTGTTACATGTCATTTTGATTCTTACCAGAAATCTGTTAAGTAGGTGCTATTATTGTCCTCTTTACAGATGAGGAAACTGAGATTGAGAAAGGTTAAATGACCTGCTCAAGGTAATACAGCCAGTAAATAATAATAACTAGTAAATAATATTACTAACTAATATCTATATGAAGAAAACAAAGATATATAAATTATTTTACTTAATGTTGGATGTCCCCAAAGTCTTTTGAGACATCCTGCATTATCTCATTAGATCCTAACAACTCCGTGAGATAGGAGCTATTGTTATCCTCATTTTACATACGACCAAAGTGAGTTTGAGAGCATTTAAGTGTCTAAGGGAAAGAAGGCCAGGTGAACAGGATAGCTTAGAAAGCTACAAGTTAATCTTACACTTAAAAGGAAAAGCCAGCTTTATGTAAGAGACCTGGAGTTTCATGTCCAATCCTCTGTGCTGCTATGTGTATGGGAATGCCCATTTTATTGAGTATCTGCTAAATTCAAAATAAAAAACATTTTTAAAGAGATTAAATGCCTTGTCTAGGGTCACCCAGCTAGTAAGTATATGGTAGGATTCAAACTCCATTCATGCCATTCTAAATGTCAGGGATCCATTGTGGGTACTTCCTCAACCAGTGCAGTTCACAACTATTCCTTTGTCTTAGAAATAATAATAACAATAATGATAATGATGATGATGATGATGATGATGATGATGATGATGATGATGACGACATAGTGCTTACTATGTGCCAGGCACTGTGCTAAATGCTTTACAATTAGAGAGTCTCCATGAGCTACTTTGGACAAAGCAAGCAAATAAGCCAAGAAAAAATACAAACCAGTCTTCTGATAATAAATCTCTTTGGACTAAGGTTGTCTAGCCCTCAACTGGTGTGTGGCTCCACTCACGCTCAATGCCTTCCTCCCTTAGTAGGACTGTAAGAGTTATTGGTCCCCTGCCAAGGCATTTAAGAGCCCTGGGCACCTGGACACCACAGCAAGGCATGAAGAAGAGGTATTTAATGGCAAGCAAATGGGCTTCCTGCCATGAAATGAAGAGCATCACCACAAAATTAAGCTCAAATTTCAGAATGCTTATATGTCCCAAAGTAACTAGAATGTATTTCCATGTGATTTTTCAAGGGAAGGAACTCTGCTAAATACTCAGAGCAATGATGGCCTGATTGTTTAAATGGTCAAGTCCAGTTGGATGTATCAATCAACCAACACACTAACTGAGCAGCTAGCACTGTCCTTGGGCTGTAAGGAAACACAAGAAAAATACGAGACGTTATCCTTGAATAATCTAGTTGGGGAGACAAGCCAATTCACATGAAACAATTAGCAAACAATGCAAGATAGCATATGATTAAGTGTTAAATTGCTCAGTAGAGATAATAAATGCTATAGGATTTCAGACCAAGGGGAAATCAATGAGGTCTACAATGATAGTGTATGGTTTCATAAAGGAGGTGGGTTCCTAACTAAACCTTGAAGGCTAGGTAAGATTTGCACAGGCAAAAGGGAAAGATACTAATCCCAGGAAATTATGAGCAAAAAAATTCAGTAGGGGGAAGGCAGGTTATATCTTCATAAAAATGAGAACAGTAAGTTTGACATGAATACATGCTGGGGATTTGTATGAAATGAAGTTGAACAGGCAATGTAGATTGTAAATTATGTCACCTCTTCTGTATAAAGCTTTCTATCATCCCCTCAATCCTTTTCTTTTTTTTTTTTGTAAACACATTGCCTTTTGATTTGAACCTCATTAATGCATTAATCATATATCCTATGCCACACACCCAAGGGAGACTATATAATATGAAGGCAGAGATTGTGTCTCATCTAAACTTTGTATATCCCCAAGAACCTACTGCTAAACTCTACATACCTTAGCTGTTTATTTTTTTCTGGAATCAAACTGAATTGAAGCATAAAGCATTAGGGTGTTTGTTTGTTTTTTCCTTTTGAGGGAAGGGAGGGCATGATAAAACCAGAGTTTGCCAGAGACGAATGTGCTAATTGTACAAAGTTTAGACTGGAGAAGGGAGAGAGGATTTGGAGATGAGGATTTGTGGTAGTAATCTGACTTTGACATGATAAGGTCCTACAGGGGGATGAGAGAAATAATGAGAAAAGAGGAGATATTTGAAAGGAAGGTTTCACAAAATTTAATAACTAAATGTAAAGGATGAAGGAAAGGGAAATGGCAAAGGTTTGTGGCCTGAACTAAGAAAGTGGTGGTACCACTGGAAGGTAGATTGAGGTAAAAACAATGACTTCAGGGCCAGGTCTGTTGAATTTGAGGCAAAGCCATGATATTAGTCAAAATATCCAAGAGACTGACATGAGACAGTTTCCAGTCAGAAGTCCACATTCAGAATGTAAGTTCCTTGAGAACACATACTTTATATTTGTATCTCCAACTCCTAGCAGAGTATTTGGAACACAGTAGGTACTTATTAAATGACTGTTAATTGATAGATGAAATATCTATTAAGCATATGGTATATCCTAACATATTTGTGCTTTTAAATGAACAAAAACCATATCAGATGAGTTGCCATTCCACCTAACCATTTACAGCGAGTACCCAAAGAACCAGATGTGCCCCCAATTTCATAATTCCATAAATTAATTAGCAATTCAGAAGCACACTAAAGGTAACAGGATTTCTCTGAGAAAAATTCCTAAATTCATCAGCAAACAAAAGACATTTAGAAAGCACCATTTGCTATTGGCCGATATACTGTATCCCCTTCCTCTCCTCTAGGATGTAAGCTACTAAAAAGTATTGTTTCATTTATGACTTTGTACTTCAAAATTAATTGAACTGATTTTTTTAAAAATCCTAGATATGCAACACTTAAACGTCTTTGCAATCTAGCATTTGCAAAGAGCTAAGGCACCATCATTCCCTCTAAACGTATTTCTGTCCTTGAAGCATCAAAGTTTAATATCTAGAATTAAATCCTACGACTTAGAGAAACAAATGTAGAGCTTCCCTACACTTTCACTAAATGATTTTTACAAGCTCTAATCTCAGCCTTTATCTTTCCAAAATGAACCCATTCACTCAACATTTACTAAGTACCTACTATGTGTAAGGGATTAATGAAAGGGATACATAATAAATAAGACATAGTCCCTGTTTTCTGGGAGCTTATATTCTAATGAGGAAATTGAGGCATGTATCTGAGCAGTGACTGTAATACAAAATCCAATGTGATAAATCCTAAAGAGATAATAAGTCTTTAATTCCCCCCCTATTAAAATGTGAGCTTATTAAAAGCAAGGACTCTCTTTCTCCTTTATTTGTAGCCACAGCCTTAACACAATGTCTGGCACACAGTAAGCACTAAATAAATATCTGTTGACTGACAGACTTACTGCCTTAAGAGATACATATAGAACGCTATGAGAGCTGAGGCAGGAGACATCAATTCCAACTGGGATAACTCTTGGAAGACTTATGAAGGAAGAGATGTTTTAGGCTGAAGAATGGATAGGATTTCAAAAGGAAGAAATAGGAAGGCATAACTATCAGAGGTAAAAAATATGAGCAAAGACATGGAAGGCAATAGGATATTTCTGGGAATGGGAAACAGCAAGTAATCTGGTTTAAATGGGGTATATAAAGAATTTGTAAAGGACAGGAGTGTGAAATAAGCCAAGAAAAGTAAGTTAGAACCAGATTAAATAGTTTGAATCTTGTTCATTAATAAAGAAAGCAAGCAAGCATTTCTTCCATTGCCAGGTGCTCTGAATACAAAAACAAGGCAATATGTAGAGTTCCTTCCCTCAAGGAGAGATTATATTCTAAGAGAGGAGCTAACATGAACATATATAAGTACATACAAAACATACACAAGGTAATCTTGAGGAGGGAGGCACTAGATGCTGAGGGTACCAGGACAGTATCATACAGGTGATATTTGATCCTAGTCTTGATTCCAAGAAAAAGAATTGAGGAGAAGGTGCATTCTAGGAACAGGGGGTAGTCAGTGCAAAGTCACAGAAGTGGGAAATGATTTTTTTGCGTGTGAGTTGCAGAACATAGACCAGATTTTGGAGCAATGGAGTGACATAAATACACCTATGCATTGGGAAGATGAGTCTGACAGTGATGTATTGTTGGATGACTTAGAAATAGGAAGATAATAGGGGCAGCTAGTTGGTGCAGTGGACAGAAAACCGGCCCTAAAGTCAGGAGGGCCTGAGTTCAAATCCAGCCTCAAACCAAATACTTGATACTTACTAGCTGTGTGACCCTGGGCAAGTCACTTAACCCCAATTGCCTAAAAAGAAAATAGGAAGATAATAATAACAGACATCTCTGTAACACTTTAAGGATTACCAAGCACTTTCCTTGCAATAGACCTGTGAAGCAAGTTTCCTCATTCTCTTTAGAGATGAGAAAACCAGTACTTTAAAAGTTTAAATAACTTGCCCATGGTGATACAGTTAGTAGTAAGTATCAGAGCAAAATGGAAGCCAGAATCATTCTCCAAGTGCATAGCTTCAGCTACTATCCCAATGCAGCCTTTTAGTCCTACATTAAAGTTTGAGATTTGGTTGTATACTCCTTCCTTATAACTTATACAAATGCTAAACGATTCTTCTCATACCATCTCCTAGAAGACTCTACTCTTAACTCTCTCTAACCAAAGACTTGTCCATTTTATCCCTTCCCTTTCTTTTCTGTCTCTAAGCCAACTCTCTGGCTATGAGAAAATATTTCACTGCACTGCCAATCCCATAGTAACCTTAAAAAAAAAACCAAAACAGTAGAATCTTTCAAAGGCTTTTTGAAAGACTTAATAAATTATTTCCACTCATCTTCTTGTTCACAGGCTTTCCAAAAGCTCTAGATGAATGAGTTCTAATTTGTTCTTAGAGAATTCATATTTGGCTTTTCCTTAGAGATGGAACTAGGGATAGAGATGAGAGAAGATGGAATAAGTAACCACTGATAGAGAAATTCAAAGATAGACATAAAGAAAGACAATATTTCACATGATTTTTTAAAAACATAATATTTTATTTTCTCTCAATTGCATGTAAAAACAATTGTTGACATTCTTTTTTTTTAGGTTTTCAGCTCTAAATTGTTTCACATGACTTTTAGAAATGCACATTTTAAGGTCATAAAATTTAACTCTCACTGATACATACTTGCTTTGTGATGAATCATGTAAAAACAATGAACTGGGAATTGTAAGACCTCAGTTTTAGTCCCAGCTCAGATAGTTACAGCCAGTGTGACCTTGGACAAGTCACTTAACCCCTACAGACTTCAATTTTCTCATCTGTAATATGAGGGAGCTGGATTAGATGACCTCTATAGTCCCTTTCAGATCTAGGTATACAAAGTCACATGTTTTACAGTGTCATTAAAACAAGAAAAGTTAGGACAATCATTATTGTATTTTAAACCTTCTGACAATCAACTTTGCCCTAGAAAAAGACATATGAAAAATAAAAGAATCAGGAAATTGTCAATGTGCCCTTCTACTGCTAGAGCAAATAGTCCGACCCTGACCTATTACTCAAAACCACATCACAGAAGAAAAAAAAGTCTGTAGAATAAAGTTTTGTGTTTTTTTTCAAATCCCTGAATGAACCATTCAAAATGTGGTGATGCTATATTTAGGTTCCTAGCACACTTTGGGATTTATTGTCTATTTAGCCAATGTTATAAAGCCAAGCTTCCCATTTTTTTTCCTCTCAACCTGCCCCAACCATCAAGAATCAATTATATAATAACAATGAAGGGGGAAATGGCATTTCCTTAAAAAAAAAAAAAGAATACAAGATAGACACAAATAAGAATCAAGCTGTGAATAATTTTTCTGCCCATTCCCAAATGACAAGCTCCTGCATTGCCAGGGAACACAGGTCCTTAGTCTCTGTTTCCCATACCAGCTTATCTAACCATCAATTTAACCTAGGTGAATGGAGGGGGAAAAAAAAGGTTTATGAATTTACTCTCTCTGCACTCCCTACCTTGCTGCTATATCCACATGTTGCAACAGTCTAGGCAAGGGTCAAGATGTGCTAGCAACTTATCCATTTATCAAACCCAAGGGGCTTGGAATCTTCAGAACCTCATATAATCTGTCAAGCCTTGCAAACATGACTTGCAAGATAGGAACAATAGATAGGAAGATGCTTATAACCATTGTTTCCAAGCAGAGAAGAGAGGGAGAAAATCCTGTTAGTAATAGCAGGCTATACACATAGTTACCTGGGGCAGCCACCTAGCTCTGGCTTTATTTTTCTGTTCTCTCTCTTCTAGCCCTTGCTTTAATCTTCCTGCATTCCACTTCTCTCACAAGAGTTTATGATGAGTCTTCTACTAGGAGGGCTGAAAATACTCCTATCCAATCACAATCTGCAATGAAGAAGCGTCATCCCCTACCATGTACCCTGCTCAGTCTTGTGGGAGATACAGTTCCCAAGGAGAACATGTCCTTTCTACATGTTTATAATGGATATTATGCAAGCTTTTTCACAACCACAATTTTTTTTTAATTTTGCTCCTCCTATACCTCGAACATGAATTAAAATTCTCTTTTAGGAAATAAAATTTTATTCATACATTTATTAGTGAAGGGAAAGACGAATGTAGTTTTCAAGCCTTGCTTAGGTCTCACAAAACATTTTGTCCTGGCATTGCCTTTCCCCAGTAGGGTAGATGTGCTTATCTATCCATATCCTTTTTGACAGATGCTATGATTTTGCCTGTTATGGAAGCAAGACTCACTGGGCTGCAAATCCCAGAGTCTCCTCTCTAGCCCTCTTACACATGGGATTCATATTGTCAATCCACTAGTCCTCAGGCAAAGCTAATTTTGGGGAAAAAAAGTTACACATTGTGGTTAATAGTTCCACAATTTCACAGTAATGTTCCTTCGGACCTCTGGTAGGTGGCATCCAGTCCTGGTGGTACATCTATGTCCAATTTTCCAGTTCTAGAACATTCTGTCTGCATATGATTCAAGATAAAAAATATTTGCTTTAGCCACAACTATTCTTGGCAGTTTTATGAGGGTACTTTGCATTGACAAATGGAGACCTTCCTTCCAAGCAATTGACACTTTTTCTATAACTATTACCTTACCAGAACTTTAATGCCCTGGTAGGCAATTTTATTCAGTTCAATTCAACAAACATTCATCAAATGCCTACTCTGTGCAAAGTAATTGGTGAGCATGAGCGGGAAGGCTGTCATCTATTTCGGTTTCAGCTGATTGCTTAAGGGATTGTATGACTCCAGTTCAAGCACCTGGAACTTGACAAGGATGATGTCCGTGTTAATTCTCTCTTTTTAAATGAAGAAAAACGTGGTGGATACAGCTCTGAAACAGGTTTGCAACAGGAAACCAGAAAACAAAGTAGTCATCCCTTCTCCACAAGACAGTTAAGAAAATTTTTAGCTTCTTGCCAACAAAGGCTGGTCAATTTTTTATGCACAGGAAGGATTATCTGCTTTATAGATTATCCCCATCCAACTTTTAACCCCAGGTTGACTTCCTCTTGACACAGCCTACTCCTGGCAGCTGTCCCTCACTGCTCAGCAGGTGCCAGTCAGTCAATCAACAGCATCGACTGGGAGCCTACTGGGTACAAAGCACTGAGCTTAGGGAATGCAAATCAATTTAATATTTGCCTTAGCAAAACTTAATTAGAAAAGTAAATTTGATTTAAAAAAACTTCAAAACACAATTTTGGAATGCCAGCTAATTTTAGATTATCCTTTCTATTAATCTAGATAATCAAAAGTTGACTCCCTCTCTCCATCTCTCTCCATCTCTCTCTCTCTCTCTCTCTCTCTCTCTCTCTCTCTCTCTCTCTCTCTCTCTCTCTCTCTCTCTCTCTCTCTCTCTCTCTCTCATCTTAATAATTAAAGGAAAAAACAAGGGCTTCTGTTAAGGGGAGACACCCAAGTTAGGCCTAAGATTTCAATTGAAGGAAGGAGTGCATTCCAGGTATGGAAGACAGCCTGTACAAAAGCAGGATAGGTGTATAAGACATGGCAGGTTTCAAGAGCAATAGGTCAGTTTGACGTAATTGCAGACCATATGATGGGAATATGTGAAATTAGATGGCTATAAATAGAGACAGGAAGAGAGATGGAGATAGACATGTATCTTTCACTTAGCTTAAAAAATAACTGTTGAAAATAAAATGAACTGTTGAATCCCATGGAATGAATCTTTGGAGGCCAGATAACAAAGCACTTAACTTGCCTATGGCCTAAAAAAAGAAGACAGAGTTTAAAGGGTCATCCAAGCTGTAGATTAAAGGGCACCATGCGGTCTGAGAGGAGAACCTGTTAGCTACAACCAGAGTGAAGGTTAGAGACTGGGAGTAAGTAAAAATTCCTGAATTTTGAAGGCTCTAATTTTAAAAAATCAAAGTTCTAGCCTTCAAGGTTTTTTTTTGAACTTCAAAATTTTAGCAAGACAAGAGTAAAACAGAGCTGTGGGGAGGGGAGCTAAGTAGCACAATAGATAGAGCGTGTGGCCTGGAGTCAGGAAGACTGATCTTCATGAGTTCAAATCTGGCCTCAGACTCTTACTGGTTGTGTGACCCTGGGCAAGTTACTTAACCCAGTTTTCTTTAGTTTCCTCACCTGTAAAATTAACTGGATAAAGAAATGGCAAACCACTCCAGTATTCTTGCCAAGAAAACCCCAAATGGGGTCACAAAAGTGAGACACAAGTGAACAATGATAAATATGACTGTGGTCAAATAATTCTTTTCTGACATCCAGTTTTCTTATCTGTGGAGTAGGGATGATAATAACACCAACAGTGACTACCTCACTGGTCATTGTGAAGCTCAGTTGAGATGATGAAAAGGACTTTTGCAAACCTTAACATACCACATCAGTTGTTAGCATCATCATCATCATCATCATCATCATTTCCCAAACATCCCAAATAGGTACTTGTTCTGCATTAGTTTCTTCTCTCCCTCTCTGATGACAGACTGAGGCATTTCACTAGACTGACCTGGCTTACCTCCATCCATATGAAGATTTCCATTTAAGAACAGAGAAAAATGGCCTATTGTTCCCAGGAGGTTCACTAGGTGGGAGATGAAGCACTGTGTCCACCAGAAGCAGGCACTGTTAAAATTGCCTTTGCCCAACACTTTTGCTTTCAGGATGTTTTAGGTCCAGGTTAATGGTCTGTGTCACTTCCCTACGCAGTAGCTGTGACTCAGCAGGCAGTCTGACTCCTCCCTGTCACTTGTGGTCAGGTCAGGGAGCTGAGAAATGGTTGTTTTTACCCTCTAGAGCTGGTCCCAGTGGGGGCCACACCCTTAAGGTAATGTAGCTACCTCCCAGATGCAGCTCATTAGGAGACCCAACTTGTTAGGACCAGTCACTCACTGTCGAAGCTAATTAAATCAGGGATTAGTGTCACCCTGATCCTGAAAGAGCTTGGAGTCAGTCCCTTGCCCTGCTAAAGTAGCAGATATTCCTTGTCAGTGGAAGCCGCCATGGCTACCATTAGCTTGCAGTATTCAGCATTCTCTCTCGTGCTGGTCTTCATTTCCTTGGGAAGAGAAATCTTGAGTTCTCAGTTTCCCTAAAAGATCCTTCACTATGAAACCCAAGCACCTGCACTGGATTTTTTGTTGATATTCAACATATTTCACTTTTTATGAATCAACTAAAAAGCATTTCTTTTTTCCTCCATGACCCTCTCTAGTAATAAATGACATTATTCTCTGGGTCCCCATACTCCTCTTCCCCATGGAGTGACCTGTATAAAAATTAGTGACTTGTTTAATTTTCTAATAGTCCAGCTTACTCTTCTGACACTTCTACTTCTGAAATTTACTAGCTGTGTGACCTTGGGCATGTCTTTTAACCACCATGGGCCTCAGTTTCCTCATTGATAAAATGACTTGATTACCTCCAAAGCCCCTTCTGAGCTCCAGACCTATGACCATGTAGTCTTTTCTCCAGGAGTCATGGAAGTTTTCAAATAATCTTACAAGACAAACCACGACTCAAGTCTATCTTCTTTCTGCCTTTACTAGTCACTGAGTCATAAAGAATAGGTAGGGAAGCAGTAGGTATAGTGAAAAGATCACAAGATGTACAGGCAAAGAACCCAGAAAAGTCCCCAGCTGTGGGGGGGGATTGGGCAAAGCACTTGACCTCACTAGGCTTTACTATCCACCTCTGGAAAATGAAGCGGCCAAACTAGAACAGAGTGCCTCAGAGTTGGAAGAGATATCAGAGACTCCCTGTGCCTGACCAAATTTCCCTCTATATCCCCCCAACCAGTGGTCATCCAGATTTCTCTTGAAATCTAATGAGTGGGTACCCATCTGGGGGCAGTTTAAGAAGTTCTGCCTTCTACCAAGGTCAGCCAGGTTACGAAGTGGATGGAGCATTGGACCTAGAGTCAGCAAGACCAGAGTTTAGATCTGGCCTAAGACACTTACTAGCCATGTGACCCTGAGCAAGTCCCTTAACCCTGTTTGCCTCAGTTTCCTTATCTGTAAAATGTGCTGGGAAAGGACATGGCAAACCGCTCCAGTATCTTTGCCAAGAAAACCCCAAACGGGCACAAAGAGTCAGACACAACTGAAAATAACACCTTCTACCAAACTTCAATCTGTCTTTCTGCAGCTTCAATCCATTGCTTCCTATCCTAGTATAAAACAAATCTAATCTCTATCATATAAGAAGACTCAACATATTTAAAGACAGTTACCATGTCCCTCCTAGGTCTTTGCTCCAGGCTAAATATCTCCAGTTCCCAAGTTCTAGATCTTCTACCTCTCGATCGCTTCTGTCTACTCTCCAGCATGTCATTGTCCTTATTAAAATATGGCACCCAGAAATGAACACAATACTCCAGAAATGGTGTGATCAGTACTGAATAAGACTATCACCTAGGACTATAGTCCTAGATACTATGCTTCTCTCTTGATGTAACCTATGATTACATTAATGGTTTAGCTTCCACATCACACTGTTCACTCATATTAGGATTGTAATTCACAAAAATTCCTAGATCTATTTTTGGGCAAATATTTATTACCAAATGACCTCATCTTGTACTTATGAACCAGAATATCATAGGTTTAAAGCTGCAAGGACATTTAGAAGCAATTACAGCAAATCCTCTTTTTTGTGAAAATTTTAATATTTTATTTTTTCCAGTTCACATGTAAAAACAATTTTAATTTTTTTTTAAATTTTAAGTTCCAAATTCCCTCCCTGCCTACCCTCCCCCTTCCTTAAGAAAGCAGTCAATTTGATATATATTATGCATGTGCAATCATACAAAACATATTCTTGTTAGCCATGTTTGCAAAAGAAAACATGGACCAAACAAACAAAACAAACAAGAAAAATAAAGTTTGTTTTTTTTAAAGCATGCTTCAATCTGCATTCACACTCTAACAGTTCTTTCTCTGGAGGTAGATAGAATTTTTCAACATAAATCCTTTGGAATTGTTTTAGATCATTGTATTGCTAAGTCATTCACAGTTGGTCATTGTACAATATTGCTGTTA